AGACTTATTAAAATTCAATATATTTATAGGTTAAATGCCAAGGCAAAACCCTACTGAACAATAAATAGACATTTAAACAATGAAAACAGGGATGTAAAACAGGTCATGTTAAAGGAAGGGTATAATCTAGAGTGGGGAGGACAAATGAAGAGACTAAAGAAGGGTGAATATAGTTGATGTGTTTTCCATACATATTTTCATATGGAACACTGAAACCTGTCAAAGCCATTTTTAAGAGGAGGAAAAGGGAAAATAATGGAGGGAATGAACCAAACTGGGGTACATTGTACATGTATATAGAAATGTCACAAACCCCCCTGTACAACTATTATGTACTAATAAAAGGTAGCATTTCACCAGATCATCATAATACAGTGTCAAAATAGGCATTAGTCTTGAAGTCAGAGCTACCAAAACTCAAATCCTAGTTTTGCTTTTGCTAGCTTTGTGACTCCATGGGACAATTAGTAAGATTTTATAAAAATCAATTTCTTCATCAATAAATGAGGAATATTTATCTCAGAACAATGGTTCTCAACTGGATGTGATTTTGCTCATAGTGCACATTAGGCAGTGTTTGGAGACATTTTCAGTTCCCTTGACTGAGGAGGGCAGGTACCCTGGCTATTAGTGAACAGAGGCCAGGCATACTGCCACATACACTACTGTGCGCAGGGGAGTCTCCCAAGAGAAGATTGTGCAGCTCAAACATCAATAGTGACAAGACTGAAACCCCCTGAGGTGTGTTAGAATAAAATAAAATGATTATAAATTGCCTAGTATAGCATGTGACACATGATAGGTGTTCACAGCTCATTAATCCAGTTAGTATGTTTTGAATAAGTACCATTTGCCAGGTATTGCCCACTAAAGTGAGCTCCCAGGCTTCCTCCTCTGTGGAGCCCAAACATTGTGATAAACTAATTCACACTGAGATAGCTCAGATTTCTTCTTCTTCAAGGATGTATGAAATTTAAAAGGAGGCTTTTTCATGTTAATCATGAGCAAATCTCTGACTGAATGTCAGCTAGGGATGGTGAGTCCTTTCTTGCTGCCTATTGGCCCTAAGAGGTAAGAATTAGGCATTGTAGTTCCTACCTCACTTCACAGCTTCATAGGCTGAGGGTTCAGTGAGATGATGCAGGACAAGTACCCAGCTCTGTGTCTGACATAGGTGTAGGTCAGTGTTATTATCACATAGGGTCTCTCTCTTTCTCTCTCTCTCTCTCTTCCCTCTGCCCAACCCCCACTAGGCATGTGGTCACATTGAAAGAGTCTTTTTTCTCCAAACTACTCTGTCTTTACTATAGTCAGTAACAGTCTCTTCCTGAAAGAGCTTTTTTCTTTAAAAAAAAAAAACAAAACAAAACTTTATCAGATAATAGATTGTTCAAATGGGAGTTCCACTCCAGTTGGATTTGATTTTTCCATCTGTTACCCACATGGCTCCACACCTTCCCAGATGAGAGTCTGCCATGTTCCTAAGCAGGGCTCCAGACAGGAACTGGGCTCTGTTTCTTGCCTTTCTGCAGGCCCTGAGTGGATTCTCTCAGTGGTCTGAAGGCCCCTTCCAGGTCTCCTTGAAATTCTATTTCCAAGCCACTGCTGAGGCTTTGGGCCTGCCAATGGTTTATCATCTTCCACGTTGGCCTACTCATGGCTGTGCTTTTCACGCATTCAAAGTTTTCTGCTCAACCCTAACTTCCTTCAAGGTAATTTATGACTCATAAATGTTTTAAAACAGTTCTTTTCTTTCATTTGTATTTCTTATAAAATTCATGGATTCTCTAACTTCTGAAAAATTGCTCTAGGATAATTCGACTTTTTTTTAACTAGGAGAATCAATAGTTTAGGTTTGCATTTGCCAACAAATATCAATTGTTAGGTTTGACTTTTTCTCCCTTTAAAGAAATATTATATGGTAATTGGCTGTTGAATATTCGTTAAGCAGTATTAGCAAATATTATACCTTCAATAACTGGCAAAGGGCTTTTCTTCATGAGGTAATTCAGAGCTATTCAAACACTGGTGATTGCTACCAGAGAAGTCCTAGCAAAAGTGAATACATGTGGAAGAATCTGACATAACCCACACATCAGGAAGAGCACCACAAACATTTCATCCTTCATTTATTCATTTTTAATCATTTCCATGAGTTGGAGAAAGGGAGCTGAAATTTCTTACATAAATATGAAGATAAAAGATATAAGAAATTCTGGATTTTCAAGTTAGTCACACATGGTAGGTGTTCACAGTTTATTAATCCAGTAAGTTCTTTTTGAATGAGTACCATTTGCAAGGTATTGCCCACTACACCTGGGCAATATACCTTCAATAGCTAGAAGGGCTAGAATCATTAGGGTGGCCATGCCTTAGAGTCTACATTTCAACCCTTTCAGCAGGACAATACTTTAAAATTTTTCTTTCTGAAAAACATTTTTTTCTTTCAAAAAATTGGGTAGAACATTTATCTACCCAAAAAGTCAGAGGCTTTGCACTTAAATAAAAGGATCTGGGTTTGCACTTTTGCCACTTGCCAACTTTGTAGTTTTGGATCAGGTAATTAACCACTTCTGTTTTGATGAAAAGCAAAGAAAAACAACATCACCTGGTTTCTGTGAAGATTAAATTATGGAAATTGCCAAGCACAATAACAAGGCACATAAGAGGTCCCCAACTATTACATTTAGTGACATGCCTACATGTTTTTTTCTAATGACCTTTGCATGTAAAAATTTTCTATCATTTTCTTTTTTTAAACTGGCAAGAGGTTTGCTCTTTCTTGTAGAAAGATGCATATTCTATACTTTCTATATATGCCATCAGTTTCCTATTGCATTCATTTGTCCTGCAGATATTTATTTATTTACTTATAGTATTATTATTGTTATTCTATTTCTGGTTTGGGAGGGCTAGCTATGGCCTTATTCACTATTGGAATCCCTTTGCACACAGGCAGCAAAAGAGCTTTAGTTTGTCTCTTGATGTTATTCAAATTTGACAAGAGTGGTGTAGCAAAGAGTCTACCATTCTAAAGAGGAAACAAGTTACCCATAAAATACTCGGTGACAGGAATCATCCTAAATTCCTAAAGAATTAGTGTCAGAGTTGTGTAAGTGCTCAGAGGATGAAAAGAATACACTTAGCAGATATTGTGTTTATATGAGTTTGATATTGTGTTAGAATTTTTTGTAAGTAACAAAGATTAAGAAAAAAAAAGTATGTCTAGGCTTATAAAATTATAAACCTGTCCCTAGGTTCAAATAGAGACACTGTTAGATGTAGGGCTCTTTCTGTCATTATTTCTCAGGTTCACTTGTCTCTCTTAGCTTATTTCTTGTTACATGAAGGTCTTCTCTAACTGTTATGGAAGGTAGCCATTGAACTCACATCTCCCCAGCTTAGCAATTCCCATGTCATAAAGCACATAGTGTCTATATGTTCCAGAAGAATAGTCCCAATGAGGAATCTGACTCACTAGTTTGAGTCAGATGCCATTGCCTGAATCACCCACTGTGGGCAGGAGGTAAGTAACTTGTTGCTGACGTATGGGCTGTATGTCTTCCTCTCCTTGTGGCCTACAAATTGATTGAGAAAAAAGATGCCTAAATATTGTTTGAGAGAATTTGTAGGTCTTAGGGGACTTGTTCCACTTTACACAAAATTGAAAATGGAATCTCTAGAATGAAGAGAACTAGGTAGGAAAAGGAGTCAGGATGGGCCACAAAACCTGAAATTTAAAGACTTCCAGGGCAGGCAAAACCAAGTTTAATTTTAGCTGAGAAAAGCTAAGGCTAAGATGAGGAAATAACATAAGGGAGAAAACAAGCAAATAGCAAAAAGGACCTGGAAAATGGAATAAATGTGTCATCAAGGAATGCTTAAAAGAGCAAGGCTGTAGTCCAGGGCTTTCTTGCTTTATGCAAATCATTGCATTGCTCTAAAAGTTAACACATGAAAAGTCTGAGCTGTGAGGGTATGTCTGATTATTACCAAATAGGGAAACCTTATATAGAGAGGTGATAGGAGGAATGGTGAGGAAAGTTAATTTTTATTTAAGTTGTATAACTTTAGGTATTTTTTACAGTAATAAATCATATGAATGGTGACCAATTTCTATACATACATTTACATGTAAACATATATCAACACATACATGTTTGACATTTTGTATAGGCCTATTGTATTTGCCATTATCCCTATTGGTCACTATGTTTTTGTTACACTTGTGTCAAATGGCTAATGACATGCCTAAATATTTTCTATTCTAATGAACTTTGCATGTCAGAATGATCTATCCCTTTTTTTAATGGCAAGAAGTTTACTCTCTTTTGTAGACAAACACATACTTTAAATTGTTTCCTATTGCATTCATTTGTCCTACTGGGCATCCTGCAGTCTGACCTGCATGTATCCTGCAGTGTACCCTAGAATTCAGAAGGAAATTAACACAGTTCTACAGCCTAGTTGGAAAGCAGACAGTAAAATAATAAACCTAGAAACATCCATAATTGTACCTTACGGTGCTGTGTAAACAGGGGACAGGAGGTTGAGACAAGCTTAAATTGGGAGATAGACAGGTAAAGTCACTTGGAAAAGTTATGTTTAAGCTGAGTTCATGAGGATAAGAACAAGCTAAGCAGTTGAACAACATAAGGTTATGTATTGCTGGCAGGGAAGAACAAATTCAAAACCCTGAAGTATAAACTTAAGGTGGCCAGGTAGGAAGTGAACTGATGTGATGGCTTTCTTTATTTCCATGACAGCATGCATTGTAACAGGTCAAGAGCAGTGTTCTTCATTTCTTTTTTCACCTCTTGCAGCATTGGTGTGCTGTTATTAAGGTGTTGCCGCTCAGATCTAAATCCACACCTCTATGTTCTGCTTTGAGATGCCAGGGTTGGAATTCAGGTTCAACCACTCTGACCATCCCTTTCCTTTGCCCTGCTGGCTTCCTGTTAGATTATATCAGTAGGGGGTGCTAGAGAAAGCTGTGAGACATGAGGGAACGAGGACTCTGCTTGCTGCTTGCAGCTACCAGCATCAACTTAGCTTTTATTTACTCCAAAGGCCATGGGCTTTCCCCACTCCTCTGCGATAATCCTCAGAGTCAGACCCTTCAGGTAACCAGCTGCAGCAGGGCAGAGTGTGGTTGTCAAATGTCTGGGCTCCTCCCCCGGTTGCCTCTCCTGAACTTTTAGGCTCTGGTGACTGCATCCTCCTCTTTTGTCTTAAAGATCATAGATGCATTCTGCAGTCACTATTCTTGTCTCTTTAGTGTCATCTTGTTGCCTTTTCTCTCCTCCAATATCTGTTTAAATAGCGTCTTATGTTAAATTCTCCCTGTTAAGATAATTGACTGTGTGTCTATTTTCCTGAATGGTTTTGCTGGATGCATGGATGGTTTAACTGTCTGCTCATGCCCATCCTTGCCACCTCTTAATGCGGAGCCTCAGCTGCGCCCGTCCAAGGCAATGTCCATGATGAAAAATGTCAACTACAAAGCAAGAAATGATGATCGTCAAGCTTGAAGATGCATTTTTTTTCCCTCACAAGCCTATTCCCAATCTCCACTCTGCAATGTCTTTTCCAAGGTTAGCAGAATTATAAAAACATCAATTTGGCCATTATTGACTTTTCAGCTGGGATACCAAAAAAGTCTTTCAGCAGCCTCGATAATTTAAATCTGGCCACCTAGCTCCCAGACTGGCAGGCTCCTACATCATTGACAGAGAAGACAGGGGAAAGCAGTTTTCCAAGCTGTTGCTGTAAATGCTGTGCATTGTGTCCACAGCCATTAGCAGGTGGAGAATTTGAAGTGTGGGTAGATTGCAGAGCTGCCTCTTTTAAAAATGCATAAGCACTTTGCGAGTTTGCTAAGTCATATTTCACTCAACTGGGCTTGAATTTTTCATAGCGGAGAAATGCTTTGTAGTGTTTTCTCTTGTACTTTGTGTGTGTGTGTGTGTGTGTATGTGTGTAGGTACTGGGCTTTGAACTCAGTACTCTGGGCTTGCTAGGCAAGCATCTACTGCTTGAGCCATGCCTCCAGCCCTTTTTGCTCTGGTTATTTTGGAGATAAGGTCTCATTTCTTGCCCTGCCAGCCTGGACCATGACAGTCCCATTTTATACTTCCCAAAGTAGCTGGGATAACACGCCCAGCTCTTTTCCCATTGAGATGGAGTCTTACAAACTTTTTTGCCCAGTCTGGCTGGAACCACAGTCCTTCCAATTTCAACCTCCCTCGTAGCTTGGAATGACATGGCATACTGCCATGCCTAACTATTGGGTGGGAGGAGGGTTGCTAAGTTTTTGCCTTGGCTGGCCTCGAACCACAGCCCTCCTAATCTCAGCCTCACAAGTAGCTAGGATTATTGGCATGAGCCACTATACCTTGGCTTAGATTTAGGTTTATTTTTAATGTACATTTTCAAGTAAAATTTTAACCTGGAATACCATCTATTGTGAAATTTTAAACACTGCACTGTAAACACTTCTTTCCAAAACACATCCCCAGTTCACACTTCCATGATAAAATCTGTCTGTGCTGTGGTTACTTTCTACTGCCATTCCAAATCAGACATAATTAAATACTCAAAGCACATTTTCCTGTTGTGTCTTTCCTAACATGATATTCCATCCATGGATAAGTGCTGATTGTCCAGAATATTGGTGGAAACATAATAATATCTGAAAAGTTCCCCATTATTTTTTTAATGTAGAATGGTGTCTGGCTTATGTTTGGGTGTGCTGAATACTTATTCTATGCCACAAACTATGAAACATACTTTTTAAATTAAACATTAATTCATTTAATTTCTTAAAACACACATAAAAAGAAACTATTAATTGCTTTAATTAATAAAAAACTGAGTCTCAGAGAATTAAAGTTATTTATCCAAAGTTCCACAGTGAGGTCTGACTCTGGAACCTGAAATTTGTTTTGCTATGTTATTTACTTGACATAATTCAATACATGTGTTTGGCACATTCATTCATTCATTCTTTCATCAAACATTTATCAAACCTCAATCATGTATTAGGCAGGAAAAACAGTATAATATCCAACTAAATCAGCAATAGCTTATCAAAAATAAGGTGGAGGACTGGGAATATACCTTAATGGCAGAGTGCTTGCTTAGTATGTGTGAGACGTGCATTTGATCCCCAGCATCACAAAGTAATAATAATAATGATGTTCAATTAGGCTCTTTAACCAGTAATTAGTTAATAACCCCTAAAAGGCAATAGATTTTCTGTTTCTTAAAATATCAGTAAATCAGGTTTTTCTTGGAATGAAATGATTTTCTTCCCACATCTGGCTAATCAATTGTAACCTATTTTTTTCCCAAATGTAGAAAATTATTCCAGCCAGTTTTGAAACCTCAGCAAATTGAAAGGGAAAGTATGTTGCAATTTGAAGCACCAGGTACTTATAAAATGTTTTTTTGCTATAGTTAGGGGATGGGATTCTAGAATGCCCTGAGGTGGAGAACTGACCTTTCATGGGCCTTTTCAAACTTTCCAGGGCCTGTGAGCACATCTCAGTGGGGCTGCAAGAGCAAATGTCTGGTACTTTCATCTTTTTTAAGTTCTGATTTAAAACCTCTTCACTTGAAGATAAGTTCTTGGGAAGAGGATAGTGAGGTAGACAATGCTTCCACAAAAGAGATGGGGTGCTTATATTCTCAAATTAATTTTTTTTCAAATTTCACTATGAATGACTCTTCATACATTACTACAGCTGGATTATATTAATCCCATCTTCTTCCTTGATATCAAAATAATATGTAGGCCTCCCAAGCCATTTTATGAATAATCTTGCCAAAATGGTAAAATATTCAAGTGTTCTTATGAAATACAGTGCGGAAGTGTGACAGGCTACACTAAAATTAAGTTGTTGAATTTCCCTTTAAGGGTGATAGTGCTTAGAATAAGTGAAAGGTAATACTTCTATTTGCCTGGAAGCTGGAGGATCCCAGCTGACATTTAAATACATGGTCATTTCAGCAATTCAGTGTGGTGGTAGGAGGTGAGGAAGCAGCAGCGGGGCCAGGCTCCAGGCTTGGTATGTGGGGGAGGTGGCATGCAGCTTTCCATGTGAATACACAGGGATCCCTCACCTGAGGCATCCTTAAAATAATTTGAGACAAGACTCGGGTTTCCTCTGGAGTCCACTGAAAGGAATGACTTCCACAGAGAAGGTAACTGTTGAGCAGAAAGACACAGGGCTCACATTTCCACTAGCTCAGCGTGGTTTAGGGCAAAATATTGTTGACATCTTGCTTTAAGGTTAATTGGGCAAGTGTGTCCAGGAATATATATATATATATTTTTCTTTCTCTTTTCTATACTCCCCCTCCTCTTCCTGCTTCTTTCTTTTCAATGCTACATTAGATTTCTGAGGTTTCCCCAACAGGATCAAATTAGGTAAGCTCTCGTCTGATGCGATTACTTTTCCTTCGCCCAATTCATTGAAACCATTTCTCAACTAAGTCATATTAGCATAAGGATGGCTGGGTTTCAGGAGGCAGAGGCAGATTCTGCCTACTAAGGGTGAGAAACGATCCCTTCAAAATCCATGCTGGCAGGCAGAAGCCATTTTCTTTTGTAGATATTTTCAGTCACCAGCTGGTCCATGTTGAGTAGTTTCTCTACTGCATGGAAGATGCTTATTTGTAATAGCCTGGGATAACTGCGATATTTCTGCTGTTGTTATTCTTTTTGGTTAATTGGATTATTGCATTTAATTTAATGACTATATAAATACACTGATTAGTAGGTCACATTTTAGAAAGTGGCTTGAAAGAGCAGGCAAAAGTTAGAAATACTTCTGTGGTTGTGATTTACAGGAAATTTTTTAAACTTCCTCTGGAAAAAAAATTTCCTAAGTTGCTCTACATGTTTAAATCATTTAGCTATGCAAAGAATAGGCGTTACAAAAGAAGATAGAACACTGCTTTTAGTGTCATGTTTAAGTTTCTCCTACTTTGACCATATTTGAAATGACAATAGCGTGACCTATTATTCACAAGAGTAAGATGAAGTGAGGTTAAAACTAGTTCTTCTTTAAAACATATAAAAATACTAGACATATTCTTGTTTTCAATATTAGTAACATACAGGGAATTAATTTTGCTTTCCTTTTATGGTTTCAGTGCAAACCATATGAAGTGCCCAGCCAATAACATATGATTGGTGAATAGTATTAAGTTCATGACTCCAGAAAGATGGTGGCTATTTAAAAGGTGGAACCCTGGGAGCAGGGACTTATGTTTAGAAAATTCCTTGTGCCACGATTGTAGATTCTTCTAGTTCATAGAGCCACCAAATGTAGCTGAAAAATTGCTCTGTCTCTAAATGGTTGAATGCAGTTTTATGAGTCAAGACTTAAGGGAACAAAGAGAAAAGGACTCACACTGGCTTAAAAATAAAATGGAATTTAGTGGATCATATAACTGAAAAACCCACTGACAAGCCTAGTTTCAGGCTTGGCTAGATCCAGGTGCTTAAAAGTTATTAATAAGATACACTCTTTTATTGATTTTTAACACTGCATCTTGGGCTATTTGCTGAGACTTCAGCAATGAATACTTCACTATGTCCACATTAGGAAACTCATGGTCTAGTAGCTGAAACGCATAGAATTGTGACAGAATGCATCATGTGCAATAATAGAGGCCCTAAAAAATATAGTCATAACTCAAAGGGAAAAAAGTCAAATATTTTTAAAGAGAGGTAAACAAGACCATGAGAGGAAATTTCAAACTTGAACAGTATTTTGAAGGAAAAGCTAGAATTTAACACACAGGGAAATTTTTTTAAATTGTTAATTACCTTGGTTATGACATTTGGGATTGCTATATTCAAGTCCCAACTCTTTTACTTAGCAATTGTACAAACTATGGCCAAGTTTCTTAAACTCTCAGGGTCTTAGAGTTTCCACGTACAGAAATTAGAAGTGGAACTATTGAGTTCATAGAATTATAATGATGATAATTGGTGTGCAGAGCTTAGTTGGAGCTGTCAAAAAATCAAGCCCTCCTTGACAGGTCACTGTGATTCTCCCTGTCATACCTGACTGCTATTACTGGGAGCTTTGGATTAAGGGTAACATCAGCCATGATAAAATTGACTAACATCTACTGAGTGCATCCTGTATGCCACACACTGAATTTCACTTGACTTATCTAAATCCTTTCTATAACTCTAGATAGTAGGAAAATTATTATCCTCATCTCTCTAATAAGAAAACTAAAACTTGAAAATTTTTAAGGGGTCTGACATGGTAATAAGGTTGATAAATGGTGGAGCTGGGTATTCCTATCTAGGCTTGTCTGATTCCAGTACCCGTGGGTTTAAGCATTGTACTATGTATCACAGCACACTATTACATAAGTATGTTCCTTGATGGACCTGGCTTCTGGGTACTGCAGTTGCCACCTCATTTCTTCTAAAAGCATTGTTCTGTGATATGTGCCTGTATGTGTTCAAGTGCTGTGCTGTTACTCCATGCAGAGCTAGCTGGCACTAATCCCTGTGTACTGTGCTTTTCTTGCAGGTGAGCCTTCAAGATGGTCATCCTCGCATTGTGATTGCTGCTGCAAGAATGGCAAGGGTGACAAAGAAGGGGAGAGTGGCACATCCTGTAATGACCTCTCCACTTCCAGCTGCGACAGCCAGTCGGAAGCCAGCTCTCCCCAGGAGACGGTCATCTGTGGGCCTGTGACACGCCAGACCAACATCCAGACTCTGGACCGTCCCATCAAGAAGGGCCCAGTCCAGCTGATCCAACAGTCAGAGATGCGGCGGAAAAGTGACCTGCTCAGGACTCTGACTTCAGGCTCTAGGGAGTCGAACATGAGCAGCAAAAAAAAAGCTGTTAAGGAAAAGCTCTCAATTGAGGAAGAGCTGGAGAAATGCATCCAGGATTTCCTAAAGATCAAAATTCCAGATCGGTTCCCTGAGAGAAAACACCCTTGGCAATCTGAACTTTTACGGAAGTATCATCTATAGGGCAGGGCTAGGGGGTGGGAGAAGGAAAAAAAAAGTCACCATTTTGAAATAAACCTTCTAAAAGAAATTCGTATTTTAAAGAAAAACTAACACCTAATCATACACATTTGTTAGAACACAATAGTCCATGATATATGACTGCCTACTTTACCTAATTCACCTTAACATATAAATCCACAGGGTAGATTTCTTTCCAAATGCGGGAATACAAGAAAACTCGTTCATTGTTGTTGTTTGTTAATTTGGTTCCATGTGCTGAGGTTCTCACTCTCAGTGAGAATCAGCTACATGAGAGTAGCTGACAGGCCTTGGGAGTCATCCATCCCCAAACGGGTTTTTTTTCTCTCATTTTCTACCTCCTTTGAACAAGGATATGTGGTAGAAAGAGATCTGACCCAATGGCATATGTTTGGACTTTTTTAGTTTTCTCTTTTCTTTGTTTATGGGGAGAGGGAGGGGAAATGGCAGATTTCTATGACTTTTCACTTAAATCTATATGTGCCAGTTTATATTGACTCTGAATGCATGAGTATTTGTGCAACACAAGCACAGTAAGTCTGTATATACATACAGTGCACATGACCCAGGCCAGGACATCCTTAGGGCTGCACCCCACTGCCAGCAGCCCCTCTTAGAGCATTTCAGAGAGATAAGCCTCTGACTCTTTCTTAAAATCATCTTGGGCAGGTTTCCCAGCTGCTCTTGGCAACACTTTCTAATGTCGAATAGCCCTCATCATCAACAAATTGTCTTCCTTATTTTGAAATTAATGCTCTCAGGCTCCATTTTACTGCTTTGCTCTTTCTCTACATTAGGAGAAGGTGAGAAGAGCTAGTCAAACATTATTCATATTAAAAAAGCAAACAAACGTTCATATCCACAAACATAACTACCAAATGACCTTCACTCAGCCTTCTCCACCCTAATATTGAATTATCACCCTTCTCTCAATATTTCTGAGTTCTTCCTTGCTCACATTGTAATGATGGGGATTTTCTACGTAAAACAGACATATTATTTCTATCCCTGTAAGTTGTGGTGTTAAGAACAGCACACAATTATTTGAATAACAGCTGTCCTTTTGTTTGTTTGTTCTCATAAGATTTTTAATCTACAAAGCTACATTGTTACTTGTTTATAGCTAGTTTTGGTTGCCTATAGGATTTTGGGATTTGGCTGTGTCCATACTAGGATTTAGTTGTCATTTTTATGGTATCTATAAGAACCCAAGAAGGGGACTGGAACTCCAAAGTCCATGTTTTGGCTTTGTAAACTATCTGTTTTGATCACACCCTTGATCTGTATGGACACAGTCAAAAAAACCTTATTAATAGCCATCCATCCATGTGACTCTGTATATCCTGTTGCTGTACCAATAGTTCTTTGTAGACTTGTGCTAAATGAAGGTTAAAAGACCAGTTTTAATTTTCAGCATTCCTCGTGCATTTCAGAGATAACTGAAAAAAATGATTTGTCAATTATTAATTGCGTGCCAAGCACTGCTAAATTTTTTGTTGTGTGTGTGAGCGTGTGTATGTGTTTCACAAGTAATAAAGGCAACTGGATGATGTCTATAGGAGGGAAAACTAACCAGTTTCTTTCTGAAAGCTTTCCATTGATGCACATTTATTATGTAAGGGATTCTGTATTGATTTCTGTTATTAATGTCCATTAATATATGGATATCTTTCTGAATTTTTGTAATTCTTGCCTATACTGATGGGCAATAGACTCAATCAATGTCCTATTGTCCTGATGTTTTAAATGGAATTTAACATTTTATTTAGGTGAAAAAGAAAGTTTATTCTGGGAGCTGAATTGTCAAGAAAATTATAATTTACAAATTTTAGTGGTATTCTTTTATGTATAAATATACTAGCAGATATTTGATCTTAACTACAACATAGCTTTGTTTGTAAAGCCTACCAATATGTTTTTATTCTTTTCAATATTTCTTGATGGTGCATTAAAATACCATCATTCTAATAATAGAGTATATTGGAAATAATAATGAGTTTACTAAGTCAAGAAGAAGTTGGATTTGAGACTCGTGTTGGTCAAATAGTCATTGACTGAAAGAGCTAGCAAAGAATTTGGGGTCTAAGTAAATTAGCCAAAGTTCCCATTTCCTTAAATTTCAAACCTGACTATAATGGTATCAAGACAGAGAGACACTAGAGTAAGAACTGAAGTATTGAGTTGGCAGCTAACCCACTACTTCTACTACATTCTTCAATTTAATGCTTGCAAAAAGTGCTCATGGCACTGGTCCTCCACCCCTGACATAATTTTTTTTTCTGCACAGGCACTTTTTAAACTCCTAGTAAGCAAAATTAGTAATAGAAATTTGTTTAAAACAACAGCAATACAACACTTTTATTCTGGGCTGGCTCTAAAGTGACATCTACCCTTGATAGAAAGTCTAAATAGTTAAGCATAATAACAGCATGGTGTTCATTTTTGTGGGTGTTGGTATTGAGCTGAATATTAATGAGTAAAGGCTCTGAAGAGACAACAAGAACCAGAAAGTCTTAGGTCCTTCTTGGAGTGGAGTTATCAAATGTGGTCCCCGTGGCCTGCAACATTGGAAAACAATCTGGGTAAGTGAGTTATAAGATTAAATGTTCTGGTAGTCAGGCCCATTTCACTGAAGTTAAAATAGTTTTTAGAAATTTTAGTTAAGTGAATAATATATACAGAATAACTCACACAGTTCACATCTTAAACACTTGCTATAATAAGGGCCATAGATTGCTAATGTGGAGAAACTAATGGTATCAGATGGGTCAAATGAATGGGATAAGTCCTATGTGTTGAGACTCAGTTTAGGTTTTCTCTTGGGAACTTCTGCAATGCTAACTCCAGTAACCTTGGAAAGAACACATTCCCTAAAAATGCATAGGTCTCCTGTAGTCAGGAATATATTTATGAAGTCATCCTATCCTATCCACTACCAAAAAGGTAGTGGTCTGCATTCAGCAGGAAATGAGGAAGACAGGAAAAGAAAAATGCTACATCATTATAGTTGTGTACTCTACCTCCTTCTGCTAAAAAAAAAAAAACAAAAACATGGCACTGAGATATAGGTATCCAACCAACCAAGGTCAGTGGCTCCCAAAATAGGCAGTGACATTTTCCTTTGTAACTATAAGCACATATCCCTTATTGGAAATGCATGCCGGGTGATTTAAAATAAAAGGGGAGCAATACACAATCATAAGCATTCTCTTTGCTCTTCATTCTTCCATAATTATGTCTATTCCAACTGATTCATTTACGGGAGACACATTGACTGAAGGGGGACTGACACAGAATTATTCACTTTTCAGTTGGCCTTGTTCAATTCAGAGGCACCTTTCTCCATAGGTACAGGTACATTGTGCATTCTGGATTTTCTTAGTTACCACTGCTTGTGCTTCTGGGTTGCTTTTGCTTCCCTGGATTTTATATCCCTCTTTGAGTGGCCTTTGTCAATGTTAAGAAAAACATGTTCTGGTGAGAGAAAGAAAAAGCATATATAATGTTTTGCAAAATTACTTGACACCAGTTCCCACAATGGGAGTCAACATTTGATCCTCACACATTTTCCTTTTCTATAATTTCAATATTCCAATCTTGTGTCTAGTGGATTAATCCAGCGTATTTGAGTACTGGCATTTTCGGCTATTAGATACATTGTTTTGGAATTTGACTAATGTTGGCCTTCTAGATGATCTTTGCTAGAAATAATAAAGATATTTTCTGTGAACTTTTAGGAAGAATTCTTTGTCACCTCCATTTGACAGAGCAATTTTCTAAGGAAAAATGAAGGGAGATATTCCCCCCTGGTGACTGTGGCAGATAAATTTTTTTTTCCAATTTGCATGCTGGGTTGTAGGTTTAGTATGGGCTATTTCTCCCTTTAATGTCTTGGTATTGTTGGCATCTTGCAATCTTGATGGCCCACTGTTCCAATTTATATGTTTTCTTGGAAGAATCAGAGTGAGCATTCTGCATTCTGAGTTACAATGGAGTAAGGTGTCATTTGTTCAAGACTGTGCAATGATTAATATCTGCACAGAAATTAGACCAAATGAAAACTGCTGGAATGTGTTTGATTTATATTGCCTTCATCACGCTGATTTTAGATGAAATAGTTATTGCTCTCCACCCCTGCTGAAAGAAACGAGTCTTAAACTTTAATAATCATAGCCTTGTGATGCAACCACAGAGCTTACTTGTTGAAATGTCTATTTTTCTCATCTTGCTATATACATTGGAATGAAGCTTTTGCCCATTGTGACCTCTGCTGCAAATGTTTTAGCAGTGGTTCTCAATACTCAGCAAGCACAAAAATCACTTATAGCACTTTTTTAAAAGCATATGGCCTTGTCTTAACTACAAAGAGTCTGATTCAGAAACTGGAAGCAGAGCCAAGGAACCTGCATTTTGAGTTAGCATTCGTAATAATTTTATTAGAATGGTCTCTTTGAGAGACTGCTGTTTGGGGACTCTGGAAGGTCAACATTTCTCTCACTTCCTAGTGACACTTCCTCTCACTTTCTTCCCACCATAAATAAATGAAAGCATCCATTATTATTCATTATCTTAAGGGAAAAAGCCCAAAGATCATTCAAGGACTAGGGCAGAGTGACTTTCCATGATACCTTTGCAATTTCATCTGCCTCTCAAGCACAAGCCTCTCCCCATAAAGTGTGTGTTTGTGTCTCTCACCCCAAACTGAAAGCCTGTATCATTATAGCTTTATCCCTAGGTGGATGGAAGGCATATTTCTGAGTGAGACGCATCCTAATGGTACCTAACAAGGAGTAAAAATAATCACTTTTTTTCCCAAGGACTGTTGTTTCTTACTCAGTTTGAATCAGAGACTTGAGGGTGACCCATAATTTAATGTTGTATATTGCTCCAAACATGCTTCCATTAATATCACATACAAATACGACCAAAGAAAGTATGGAATAATGAGTGAATTCTTCTATATTTCATCAATAAAATCCTGAACCACTGATCTGCTTCTCTTGTCCAACTGGACTCAAGCAGGACTATAAGGCTCTCACATAATGAAGAGACTAAGCTGTAACGTTTATTAAA